CCTGTGTTTATCATTTGTTAAAGGTTAATTCAGTATAAGTTATAGATTTTACAAAATTCTAGGAGGAAAAAATAAACTTTTATATTACTCACATGGACTTTTACTCGTCAGTTTGCATTTTCGAATGTCATTGGCAAATTATATACATAAATGTGATATAGGTATTTAATATTTGACTTACGTGCATGATATAACCCTTAGGTTAAACATTTTTTGCATCAATTAGACATTAACATACTAATCCACTTGTAAGCAGTAAAACTACGTGAATTTTCATTTTTAAACTTTTACTTTAACACGAACACAGTTTACATCAATTTAAACAAACAAGTTTATGCCATATTATATTTTTACAGTCAATGCCAGTCAATGGAGTCAATGCAAAGAACTATGCCTGTAAGTTGGTAAATAGCAGGAAAGAATGCAGTGTCATCTTGTGTCAAAATATAAAATAATTCAATCAATATAATATATCATTTATCAATTTAATATAACGAAAGATTAAAATTATAGCTATAGAAGGTATGAATTTATTAATAATATGAAGGGATATTTATTATTACTTTTAAAAACTTAAAATAATTAAGTACTTAATCATGTATAGATCGTTATGTGTGCCTGGAGTCTGTGGATCGTTTTCTTTCGTATTATTTCTAAAAAATCGTACCATATCCCATATTATTCAACAAAAATAAAAATATTAAGTAATACATTAATAAAGAAAATATATAATTTTCGTTTCCGCAGTATAGTAATATTGTTGGAATAAAATCGAGAGTAACAAAAATAATATATATTTCTCATAAAACTTTAAATCTAGATAATATGTAAGTAGATAGATTGTATAGTGCAGTGATTAGCTTTCCATGAGATAATATTATACCTACCTCATGAGAAATCCACACAGATAAAAGTTGGCGCACATCAGCAGTTGTCTCGGCCAGTAATTGTCTTCGCACACTGCGTTGAAACCTGACTCCACAATTGCAACATACACTTCTATTTTCATTGTATGCTGATCTAGCAGATTCCATTTTCTTAAAATCGCATATAAATACAAAAAAACAGTAGCGTAACGAACGTCAATGCCGTTAAGATTAAAGACGTAGGTAATACCCCGCCGCCCCGCCCCGCCGTACCCGGCCGCCGGCCGCTGGGAATTACCGGAAGTCAATGATAAAATAACGTTTTGGTTCACAGTCATTTAGAACTATGTTATAACGTGATATTAGCTAAAATTTTTAGAAATTAAACATAAAGTTCTTAGTGGTATCTTTTTTAAGTCAGCTTTGTGAAAAAATAGTTTTCTTTTTTATACAAGCTGCAAAATGACTAATTAGGTACACGCATTTTACCCATATTACACTAATCAGAACACGAATATCAAAACAACTAATTTTTTTTCGTATTTCTTGATTCCGTTTACATTTTCGAAAAATCTGTAGGCCATTTACTATTATAATTTGGTTTCTTTTTTTTTGATGTAATACCATTAGTGGACGTTAATATTTTTAGTGGGCCCAAAAATGATTGTCCCCTTTACGTGTTTCTCTCAATACGTCTCAATACGTATTTGTATCACATGTTGACTTTTTGCTACAGCTAAGTCTCTACTGCAGTTATATTTATAATGTAAACATTATATATATATATAAAATATATAATAAAATATTGTACAAACAGTGCGTGTTGCCAGTGATGACTTACGGATCTGAGACGTGGTCCTTCACTGCTGGCCGTATGAGGTCGCTCAAGGTCGCTCAGCGAGCTATGAAGAGGGCTATGCTCGGAGTTTCTCTGCGTGATAGACTCAGAAATGAGGATATCCGCAGTAAAACCAGAGTGACCCACATAGCCCAACTGATTAGTAAGCTGAAGTGGCAATGGGCCGGTCATATAGTTCGAAGAACCGATAACCGATGGGGAAGAAAGGTTCTCGAGTGGCAGCCTCGTACCGGTAGGCGTAGAGTAGGGCGACCCCCCACTAGATGGAGTGACGACCTGGTAAGACATGCAGGAAGTCGATGGATGCAGGTGGCTCAGGACCGTGCTTTGTGGCATTACTTGGGGGAGACCTATGTTCAGCAGTGGACTTGTGAAGAGCTGTAATGATGATGATGATGATGATTATATCTACATCATTAGATTAGAATCCCGATTATCCGAAAATTGATTATCCGAAAATCCAATTATCCGGACTCATTCGTCACGGCTTTAATTGTCGATTTAAAAATGCTTTGACGGCGCAACGAGACATCTTACGACGAGTTAACTACATCTAATTCGTCAATTACATATACCGCAAGACGATTTTAATGATTTCAATGAAATAACAGAAGCAATAAAAATTCTTAGCATTGTTGAAGGGTGCAATGAAGGGAACTGCGCTGGTAAAGACCCTGGATCCCAAATATTAACTGACAAAGAAATCATTGACGATTTGAATAGTAACGAGAGAAGACGAAAAAGAGACTGAAACTGGGGATATATGTCAAGTACCGTCTCATGCAGAAGCTTTGGAAGGCCTATATATTGCTTTTAAGTGGTTTGAAAGTCAGGACAAATCGGATCCCATACAGTTGTTACAACTGAAGCGCATCGGGGACTTAGCTGCGATGAAAAGATGTGATTCATTATGTCAAAAATCAATAACAAGTTATTTTATATCAAAATTTTAAATTACATATGTAGATACATGTTATGTACTTCATTATCGTTATAGGTCGTAATTTTTTATGTCGTATTGACTAAACGACGTATGTAAAACCCATTTCCCATACCCATTAAAATTGATTAAAATTTAAATATTGTTCGATTTGACATCGAAATCGATTATGTGGATTTTCGATTATACGGAATACCCCTGGTATTACCAGATTCGGATAATCGGAATTCTACTGTATACTTTTAACTTGAGAACTTTATATACAGGTGACCATCATTACCGTCTGAAAAAATAGGTTGTAACATGTGAACGAATCCTATGGCACTGATATTTTACAAAAAATAAAAACAAAAATTTTGAATTAAGTAAATAAATAAATTAAAATCTATCAAAATTTAAATTATATCTATATATGTTAAAAACTTTGATGTCCCGAATTCTACAATTAGGGATCGATTAAGATTGGGACTACAGTAGCTAGAATAAAAAAAACTATAGCGACAAGTAAAGCAAATGAAGACCGATAAAGACAAGAATTTCAAAGAGAAGTAACTAACTAAAGTAAAGTTTTGAAGAGCAGCGAAAAAAGTAAGAAGGAAGACTATATGTAAAACAAATGACAAAACTCGCGAAGGGAAGAAATAGACGTAAAGTAAGGTCAAAGTAATGTATCAGCAGCAGTGAAGATAGTGAGGATGATATTCCCATCGCTCAGCTGTGTGATGATGATGAAGACGATGATGTGGAGAATCATGATATTTGCACCGCGTGTCAAGAATTTGGTCGTGGTAGAGAAATTAGGTTCCGTTGTTGCAGATGCTCGCATTGGATACATAAGGAATGTAGCGGAAAATACTCTGGCGAAAATTTTTGCATTGATTAATGCTATTTTAAGAGGATACCTTGAAAATGAATCGAAGTTTTGGAGGCGTGGCTTATTCCTTTGTCGGTGAAACTAACGGACGACTGAGGGAGTGTCAAAATGAAAGTGATGCAATGACTTTGTTATTGCTCGTATAAGGGAGCGTTGATAAAATAGAGCGGGTTTGCTGGCGGGATGTTAACTGGAGAGCATACAGTAGCAGTTAGATGAGCAATAAATAACACTTCTTGAGAGTTCCTTCTTATTTTATTTCTTGATTCCTTATAATTACATTGCCGGATTTAGAATGTTTTACCACGAAAAAACGCCCCTTTTTTTATAAGCGGCTGTAACCAATCATAATTAAGAAAAAAATCGCACACGGCATTAGTGAATCTATTGACCAATCAGAGCGCAGAATAACCCTTTCTAAGAGAGATTTACAATTTCCTTAATAAACGTGGTAAAACATACCTTACAACATTTATATTTATTCCTAACGATAGATACAACTTATTTCTATTATTCTAAACCTAAATTATTCAATAAACCTTTATTTTACACTTATAAAAAATAAAAATAGCTTCGCGGTCGCTTCACGGTTTAGCTCCGGAGTAGGATAGTATTTTTTGCCGAACATACAAGTAGCGCCGCCAAGAGGAATGTACAACACTTTTTCAGGAATAATGCTTAAGAATCTATACAATATTTTTTCATGAAATTTAAATCTTTCTCATAATGAAATAACATTATATAGTGATTAATTGACATTAATGTTTCTTTTGAATTACTTTAAAGGAAAAAGAATTATATTAATCACCTATATGTTAATAGCTCTTAAGTTATGATAAAAGAAATCTTACTAGAAAAATAAGCTTATACTTGCGTCTAATGTTCTAATCAGATCTAAATAATATTAAATAGATTCATATAAGTTACTTTAAGATAAGAATACAAGTGTTTAATTTACTTTCCCGTTTTTCAGCACTAATCAGTCTTTACACTTAGCTTTATTTTACGAATAGGAAACAATTAAGATTAAATACTATCACTTAGTTTTAAATCACTGATAAGAAATAATTAAGATTAAATGTTTTGCCATGCTGGATGTGTAGCTAAATTAATTCACTATCACTTATACGCTTTTATTGATCTGTATATCAAACTCTGTCCAAATTATAGGTCAAAGATCTTAGGGGCACGGTAATATCCAAATCTCCCCTACTTATTTACCAAGTCGTAGACGGTAAAATAAAACATTGGGAGGAACCTGCATGTTTGCGCTATTAAAACATTGCCTTGCTTTTAAGCCCTCCCAGAAAATAGATGAAGCCCCTCTTTAGCCGTGGGATGTGTTCAAAGTCTGTAACTTACGATATCAATAACTTGATTTAAATCGGCAGAGAACTAACAGTACGAAACGCCAAAGTATGTCTCCATCTTGAACGACTCCATAATCACCTTTGATTCCAGGTGGTTGATGGATGCAGTGGAGTGAATGTGGTCGAGCACAGCGGCGACAGCGGTGTCCATGTAGTGGATGGCGACGGCGGTGTCCATGTGGTGGAACATAGCGATTACCCCGACCATGGTGGTGTACACGTAGTGGATGGTGACTACCCTGGCCCTGGAGGGGTACACGTCGTGGGTGGAGAGGAACTCCATATTGTCCCTGATAGTGGCTTCGCTGGACCCGGTGGTGGTGGGGTGTCTGTTGTTGGGGACAGCTATGATTATGGCAGTGGAGTTCATGTTGTAGATGGTGAGGTGAGTGGGAAGTATCTCAGCCACCATATCTGTACTGTATCAATAGAACTGACCTTAGAACTACATACCTGGTTCCCTCATTTATTGGACGGCCCATTAGCGCAGTGGCTTAGGGTTGAATTGCAGCGCTGAGGGATGCGAGTTCAAATCCCGCATGGGACACGTATTTAATGAGCTACAAATAATTGTTTCGGATCGTGACGAATGTTTTTATGCATGGAAACTGTTTCCACGATACAAGTTAAAATCCTACTGTGAGGGTAACATTTCTTTAAACAAAAATACCAATAGCAATATAGCTTTTACGTCCTACTGCCGGAAACGGGCCTTCTCTCATTGTGGAGAAAGTTTTTTTATTGAATAAGGTGACAAAAAAACACACAGTCCAACTGATGTTAAGTGGTTGCTGTGGTCAATAGCCATCTATCCTCGATAATAAATAAAAATGCAGATGCTTTGCCACCCTTGAGGACTAAGATGGAATGCCGCGTTTCAACTAATAGGGCCTCCCGTTCTCTACACTCACTATACCAAACACAGCAGCATTCAGCTGCTATTTTATGCTGGTATTCCGTAAGAGAGACCTTCACCGGTTAGGTCGACACACGATCGTTGTAAATACCTAGTAATAATTTGCCAGGTATAAATACTCTCTTTAATGATTTCTTATATTTACGCGAACACTATACATGATTAAAACTACTTTTACGGATTTTATCGCGTTTATTTTTACTTTTTATTTACTTTTATTTTTGATTCCCGACGTTCCCCGTGACCATGGGTGCTGGAAAGCGCCCGAAACGTCGGGAATCAGTCCCCCGTGACCATGGGTGCTGGAAAGCGCCCGAAACGTCGGGAATCAAAAATGAAAGTAAATAAAAAGTAAAAATAAACGCGATAAAATCCGTAAAAGTAGTTTTAATCATACTCTCTTTAATTTCAGTTTTAGGGACTGGGATGAGTATTACAGTTTTTTTATACTGAAGAATCAAATTAAGTTACAGTCCGCCTGATTGTGTAGGATTTTGGTAAGACTTGAGCCTAGGAGGCCGTTTGGGTAGTTATTTTTCCGTTATCTTTTCTCGTTAAGGAAGAAGTGCGCGCAGAACAAAATTTGTCCCGCTGTAGAATGTATTGGATTCCCTCACATCGCCAACACCCGGCATTTTCTCATGGACGACGTAAAAGTCGATTAAGTACTTACCTAGACTAGACTAGTATCCGATTCTTCAATGGTGAATGCTAAAATACATCAAATCTATGAAATAAATCTATGGAATATTATGAAAACGTCATTGTTTTTTAATTTAGGTACAATTATTAATGTTTTTATCAAATTTAATCTTACTGATTAATGTTTTGACAGGTAGCGGCAAGGGAAGGGGAAGTGGACGTTGTGGAATAAAACTTTTCAATAACACAATTTCGTTTCAATTTTCTTCCTTCATACATACAAAATAAGCGCCTGTTAGAAAATTTATAGCAATGTTTGGAACAAATATTTTGAATAATTTTCCAACAGGCACGTTATTAAAAACTTTATCAAGGGGTATCTGACTGTCTAAAGCGAACTAAATACAACATCTATTAACAAATAAGTCTACATACTTTTATCATCCTTGACGATGATACATTATATAATAAGGACAAAAACACGACAGTTTTCTGCTTAGTTATATAAATACGTAACAGGATCATTTTCTGTAAGAGTTAGCCACTTATTCAATAAATAAGGTTAAAAATTAAAATTACAGCCTATAGGTATACGTCCACTGCTGGGCACAGAGACCCCCTCTAATAATTAAGAGGGTTTTAGGGCGATGAAATGTAAATACGCCACGCTGCACAATGCGTGTCTACGAACTTCACATGCTTAAAAAATATGTTTTCTTATTTTGCAGACATGCATTTTTTTCACGATGTTTTTCTTTGCCGCTGAGCACGTGATAAATCAGCACTTAAAATCAGAACTAACAATTTCTTTGCTGCCGGCGGGGATCGAACCTGTGTTACTCGCGTACTATGACGGATTAAGAGTTTATACCGTCTACAAATATTTTATCCGGATCTACATGTGTGTCTCCTTATACAAATAATACATGTAATCCGCTTCTATGAGACAGAAGAAATTCTGACTGATAACTACTACTGGTGATGGACCTTTTCAAGACTTCGCTCGCTCCCATCACATCTGTTTGATTTTTTTATAGAATTAGGGTGACAAACGAGCACACAGTCCAACTGATGGTAAGTGGATGCTGTGACCCATATACATCTAGATTTATCCTCGATTGACAATCAATACACAGATGCGTTGTCACCCCTGAGGACTAATTGAATGTCTTATTTCCAATAAAAAAGGGTCTCCGGATCTCTACACTCACCATACGAAACACAGCAGTATTAAGCTGCTATATTACGCTTGTATTCTGTGAGAGCGTGGTCCTTCTCCGGTCGAGCCGACCCATTCGTGCTACAACATAGTATAACTACAGCGTGGCTCTACTACGCAAAAAAGATTTAGATGGAGGCCACGTAGTGTTGGCGTAAGCGAAGCTACCCCCCATATCTTCCTGTTGGTATCGCAGGAGAAACAGAAGCTAGGCAGCAGTATCTTCCAGATAACAGCTATTAAACTAGGAATTGGTGTTGCCAATCCTACCGACAAGCGAGGCAACAATTGCAAAGAAAGCAATTTATGAGAGAAACCTATGTTCAGAGGTGTACTCTTAATAAAGTTTGATAACGATCAGGTTAAAGACAAAACCTCTAAATAGGTTAGGGTATCCCGGTAGATTGCTTTACACGTTGCAACTTTCAATATAATAAAACACAAACTTACCAATAACTAAAGAACTCTGAGAGATCCATGCAGTCGATTTCCTTTCGCGGCTCCGTGTGAGGTTCGTCAGCAATCCCAGAATCCACGTCCTCTTCCGAGCTTGAGTTCGATGTGCCGGAGTCGGTACGCGAACGGACCCTACTCATCGCACTTCTACGTTTCCGACCTTTATATACTTTATTTTCTTTTTTATTTCATTAGCAATTTCAAGCCTGAATCAGCCAGTGTTGTCACTGAAGAATAATTAATGAATTTAACAGTTTTCTGTATAAATTATTTGTAACTTTGAGGACATACTTGCAGGCTAATTGTAAAATATGATGTGCAAAAAATTGTTTGATGGATTCCGAAATGGGAAATTCATCTCATGTTTCTAAGAACTATTTTTTTAATTTATTACATGATTATGAATACTTACAAAGAAAGTGAGAGGAAATTTAATATTAAAAGTTCGGCCTTGTCTGATATGTATTTTATTAACATAGTATTTTATAATATGTTGACGCGTCACCTAGCGGATGATAATTGAAGACGATAGCAATTATTTATTCTGTGACGATAGTAAGTCAAGTCGCCCAAGCGGAGAAAATAACTTGAGGTTTATAATTTATATCACCATCGCAACATTTCTATTATGGTTTTCATTCCACTAAGTCCACTAATAGCTCACATGCAACTTATACACTACTAACGTACTCACATGCGACTTAATGACACACACAATCATGACATTTAGTACAAGAAATCGCACCACTATTAAGTGCTAAGATGTTCAATAAAGACTTTTTATTATAATCATTAATATTGTTTTTTTTTATTCATTGTAGATTATAAACAATACTTATTGAAAGTAATTTTTTTCATTTACTATTGGTTCGCAAAAAAACCTCTGTCCTGGAAAGAACCAGCACGAAACCCAGCGAGACTTTTTTTAAATAATAGCTTACAATCATGTTTACAATTAACAACACAAGACAAATTAGAAATAGCTTGGTAGCGATCACCCTTCCCAGGGATTATTAACATCCATAAATTCCTTAATATCATAATAACCCTTTTTATATAAACTTAGTTTAATAAAATTTTTGAACTTTGTGTATTTTATTTAACAATTGATCCATAAACTCCATCAAAAATATTTCCATATTATGAAATTCATTCATAAATTTTAAAAAGTTTAAAAGATAATAATAACAATAATATCCTTCAATTATAGTGAACGAGCGTGAACGCAAGTAAAGAAAACCTAATAACTGATTCTGGCCGACTCTGGCTTTAAACCCGGGACCACATAATTAGCAGTTGCACTTATGACTACTAAACTAATGGGATAATAAATTTAAATAAATAAATATGTAAGCAATAAATCAGGGGAATGATGTTCTCACAAACCTATTGTAAAAACAAATAATAAATCGTAGATCTCAACAAGTATACAACACTGAAAAATAACAAAATACTCCTGTCAAGAGTGATTTAACTCAAAAAATACTTGACTGAGAATAGTTCTTGTTAAGAATATTGGCCGTAAAAGATTTATAAAAAGTGAAATACAAACCTATTTTACAAACTTTTTTCGACTATACACAGGTACTGCTAACAGGTGATCAGCTAATCAGTACAAACTACAATTTAATATAAATTCAGTGTTATTCAAATATAGATTCTTATTCCGAAGTTAGATTTAGGTTAAACGTGTAGTAAGAAATTTACAGCCAGCGCCCCGTCGTAGCATTCTCTGTACTAATTCATTTAATTCAACAATTTATATTATAAAAAAGTCTATGATAAAGTTAGTCCCTTCGCGGAAACAAAATATGATAATTGATTAATTTACACTGTTATCATTGGGCAACCAAGATAGTGATTCTCTTCCCTATAACTAGGAAGTGCTTTATCAATTCGATCGACACAAAAATATCTAGGCCATTATAAATACGCGCTCCCGATTCTCCGGCGAATGATTTGGCGGGCAACACCGTCTTAAATGTCAGTGTGGGTGCAGCGCGCCAAAACTCCCCGCAGATTACATTTCATAGATATTTTTTTAAGATTAATTTTGTATTTTTTTTTAAATTTGTGATGATGAACTCATACCATTAGTATTTATTGTAAATTATCAATATGTATACGAAACTACTTTTCAATAATAGTTATCGTTTTATACGTGACAAAGTCACGCTGCACCTGTTTCACCGGAGAAGAGCAATGATCACACACCGTGAAGTGCGTGCGTGAAGCAGCAGCAAAAAGCTGCTGCGTTTCATGTAATGAGTGAGACGAATCGGAAAACCTTTATATTTTTTGTTCGCGTCAGCATTCTGGCTCTATTTTTTTTATAGGAACGACCATACGGTTCACCTGATATTAAGTGACTTTGACACCGCAAATGAATAACTGCAACACCAGGGGAATTGCAAATGCGTTGCCGGCCTTTTAGAAATTAGTGAGCAACATCATCTTTTTGTCTGGATCACGTGCTCTTTAATCACCCTTACTTTTATGAAAAAAATATTCTACTAATTGCGCCTCGCAGTGAATCGTGACTTTTGAACCGACTTCAAAAAGGAGGATGTTCTCAATTCGAGTGTGTTTTTTTGTATGTATCTTACGCGATATCTTCGCAGATCGTAAACCAATTATGATGATTTTTTGTTAAATAGGTTATTCTTCTAGGATGATCCTATAAAAATTTGAGGAAAAAAATTCATCCCTAAAAGTATCAAATAAATAACATCTTTTTTTAGCAATTCGAAGTCTAGTTTTAATTTTTGTTAAAAGTTTTAGTAAAAAATTAAGCTTAGTGTCGATTTAGTTGCGAGACCCCAAACAAAGGCTTAATACTGATCTTATAGCTATAGAAACAATCACCAGGGATCACACTGGTCCGACTGATATTGGTCCCGTACATCCTAGACCTAAATTGCATCTGTCGGGCTAAGGAGTGGAACTATAACTTAAGAGTACAGAATACAAAAGCCAGGTTGATATTCCAATAAAAGAATCTAAAGCAAGTGACGATGCAGCACCATCAATAGAGGAGGATGAAAATAATCCTCAGGATCAAATTGATAGATTAACTCAAGATTTACATAAAACTACGAGTGTATTTTATGAAAACGTCTCAGAGTACCGGGATAAACTTGTGTCTGAAGTCGAGTTTTGCTGATCAGAGTCTCGGATTGGGGGCGACTAAATCTAGTCCAGTTTGCGCGTTAACCGCTAAAAAGAACCCCTTTGTCGTATCTCCTCAGTTTCAAGGCACTCCCCTTGTTGCCTCAGCCAGTATCGGAATCCTCGGCGTCAACATATCGAGTGACGTGCAGTTTCGTGGTCACTTGGAAGAGAAGGCCAAATTGGCCTCTAAAAAGGCTTGGAGTGCTCAGCAGAGCGGGACAGTATTTCATGCCGGCACACCGCCTGCAACTTTACAAGGCGCAGGTTCGGCTGCACATGGAATACTGTTCCCATTTCTGGGCTGGGGCTCCCCAGTACCAGCTCCTTCCACTTGACCGCATCCAGCGCAGAGCGGCTTGACCGACCTCGAGCGACCGAGTGCTTTC